AAAAAAAAAAAAAAAAGAGCAAGTAAGAATCCCGCCTGGCCTAGCAGACCATTCACACCCCGGGGAGGCATTTACTCCCTTCCATTATTTCATCTTCCCACACACCCACTCACTTCCTGGGGCCTGATACAGGCAGGGCTGGGGTGGGGGAGATGATAAGATCTGATTCATTTCTTGAAAAGATGGGGGGAGAATGGACTGAAGGGACCAAGGCGGACAGGCCTTGGAGGCACTGGTAAGAATCCCCAGGTCGTGGTGGCATAGCCGGGAGGAGTCGTGGAGGCAGAAGAGAATGATGGATCAGGGATGCACACTGGGGGCTGATGGGAACTGCCGATGACTTGGGCCTAAAGGGTAAGGAGAGAGGAACTGGGGCCTCGGCCGCCAGCCGGACGGGGACACAGAGATGGGGTTAGAGAGAAGCTCGAGTTGCCAGTGGCCCTGCACTAGCCTCCTCCCCATGCCTCTCCCTGGCCCTGCCTGCTCCCGTCACCCTCCTTCCTCTTGCTCCTCGAACCCGCCACCTCTGTCCACGTCTTAAGGCCTCTGCCCTGCCCGGCCACTCAGATCTGAGCCTCACCAGAGAGTCCTCCCCATCCGCATGGTCACTCACTCTCACAGCCCCATCCTAGTTCTCCAAATAGCAGTTACCACCTTTGCTTTTTTTTTTTCTTTTAAGAGACAGGGTTAGCCGGGCTCGGTGGCTCTGTAATCCTGCGCCTTTGGGAGGCTGAGGTTGAGTGGATTGCTGAGTCTGTGGGTTCGAGACCCGCCTGGGCAACTTGGCGAGCCCTCATCTCTACAATAAATAAAAATTAGCCAGGTATGGTAGCGCGCACCTGTAGTTCCAGCTACTTGGAAGGCTGAGGCGGAAGGATCGCCGGAGCTCAGCAGGTCGAGGCTGCGGTGGCCGGGAATGGCCACTGCACTCCAGTCTGGGCGACAGAGTGAGACTCCACACACCTGTAGTTTCGTCTACTTGGAAGGCTAAGGCAGAAGGATCGCCGGAGCTCAGCAGGTCGAGGCTGCGGTGGCCGGGAGTGGCCACTGCACTC